TTTGTATAATATATTTAATTTATATATATTATGTATATATTTTTTTCTTGCTTTAGTCATTGATTTTTGCCTAACGAAGTCACTGATCACTGATACTGCTACAAATTTTTCGTCGTTGCAACTGCATTGGGCATCACGTGCCAATTGTCGTCAGCGTGCTGGTCGTGCAGGTCGTGTAATGAAYGGCCGTGTCTATCGTATGGTCTCAAAAGATTTCTATGAAGTATGCATATTTAAAAATTTGCATTTGATCATAACCTAAAAAATATGTACATATGCTTCTTTTTAGCACTATATGGAAGAATTTGGTACCGCTGAAATGTTGCGTTGCCCACTAGAAAATGCAGTGCTTAAAGCCAAAATGCTTGACATGGGACCACCGCCAGATATACTCGGTTTGGCTATGACACCGCCAAATCTCTCGGACATACATAACACGATATTGACTTTGAAAGAGGTGGGCGCACTTTTCACCACCGTTAATGGSGCATATTCCATACAAGATGGTGATTTGAGTTTTATGGGTCGTGTGATGGCCGGCATGCCATTAGATATACGTCTAACACGTCTCATATTGTTGGGTTATATATTCAGCGCTATGGAAGAAGCGATTATAATCGGTAGTAAACTCTATATATTTAACAGAGCTCTATGTTAAGTTTAACATATTGTATTTTGTTAGCTGCCGGCTTAAGTGTGCGTTCCATATTCCGCTCTGGCGTCGATCGTCGTGGTCGTGAAAACACCCAAGTAGAGGCATATATACAAAAACTAGTTTGGGCTGACGGCTCTGGCTCGGACTTGTTTGCCATTTTAAGAGCTTACCGTGTAGGTTTATAAGAGTTTTCCAAACTTTTTTTTTTTTTTGCTGACGAGCAAACAAAGTTTCAGTTTTTGYCCTAAAAAAATTGCCCAATGTAAACAAGCTTTTTTTAATTACACAAATCTTATTTGAAGTATAGCCACAACTTTGAAAAAATATATTCTAATACAAAATTCAGCGTTCTACAAAAGGGTCCAATTCATTTGTCTATAAAAACTTTCTTTTAAAAGTTATACGCGCTTAAAGTTATATAATATCTTAGTTATACAGTGCCAACTGCATGCATGTACACCATGTCGTATGAGCAACACCGAATTTAAAAGGCACTTCTGTGTGCTCTGTACGTTTGATGCATAACTTATAACTACGCATAAATGTTACAGCAGTGGTTCTATGGAAAAAATCATTCAGACCTTTTTTTTATAGAGCGCTAAATTTTGTATAAGGCTATCTACTTTTCAAGGTCGTAGATTTATTTGTGGAAGAAAAACAATTTAAACAAAGGACTAAAAAGTTCTATGTTAAATATATGGGGAAAAGTAAATGATTCCACGACAAAAACTGAAACTTCCGGAGCACCCTCATGTCTGTATTCAAACGTCGCTGAAACTTGTTCTTTTTTTTTTTTTATTATTATTAGCTTTGGTCATCGATGCGCGAACAACAAAATATCCACGAGGAAGCCAGCGAACACTATTGGGCCAATCGTTATTTCATCAATTTGCGTTCAATGAAAGAAATGCATTTGCTTGTKTTGGAATTACGTGAACGTCTGCAAAGGCTTGGCATACGCGAGCAGCATGCCTATCAACGTGTTTGTTGGATTGATCGCGAAAAAATCATTATATTGAAAATCATTATTGCTGGCGCTTTCTATCCCAACTATTTTACACGTTCGAATTTGAATGATACCGAACGTGAACGTGGTATTTACCATACGCTTTGCGGCAATGATCCGTGCAATACCGTCTACTTTACCGGCTTCAATACACGTCATATTGGCCAACTGTATACGGGCTCCATTAAAGAACTCTTTAAATTTATGCGCATACATCCGAAGAATATCGAAGTGCGCTTTCAGCCAGGCGCCGAACGTGTGTTTGTCACTTTCAAAAAAGATCAAGATGCCGATGATGATGGTGGCACGTATCGGCTGCTTGTACCGGGTCGTGTTTGCCCCGATGTTTATAAGGCTGTGCGCATGCGTATGCTTGGCATACGCTCAAGCATACGTGTCATGGAGTAATTTAAAAACAAAAAAAACATATTGAAAACATAATCAATTAATTACATGATTTCTCTCGCAGTCCACGTAACGAGGTGCGCTATGCCGAGGAGCGTCGTATTGGCACAATGGTGGAAGGTGTTTGGCAACCGGTCAAGAAGCAAATCAAAAATCCTGAATTAGTTGTCTTGCCCTCTGTTTTTCAAAAAATGATACGCGGCTATATAACACATGTGAGCACAAAGCTATCATATCTAATTATAAAGATATATGTATATATGTATTTATATTTACGCCT